ATACAACTAAAGTGTATAAATATCAAGTTGGATTTGGCTTTAGATACAGACATAGATAGGTATGTTATCACGGGAGAGAGATATCGTTTATAATGTGACCAAAGCAATATTCCGAGATGACGTGTATTACCTATCGTTGTATGAAAATCTACTCATTAACTCACAGTTATCGATTATTTTTAAGTACATCGAGTCATAGTCACAATTCTCGCACACTCTTAATTGCTCAATAACAAACGCGTCCTACTCATTTGTCGAAGCAGTTAAGAATAAACCAGCTTACTTCTGACCTACTTATAGCTCCTAATATGAAAAAGCCAATTAATTTTTTAAGACCTAGATGAAATATTGATCCACTAGAACTGGAAATCAAAGATACGACACACATACATCAGCTGCTTATCTCGATCATTTCTACAACCAAACCAACATGGTCAGCCTTCCATCAGGATGTATGATAAACGTAACGTTTTAAATTTCCTTCTTGTGGTTTTTCCATTCCTGGATAGCAATAAACCTATGGTATTTACAGTTGATTTTATATCCAAGTGCATGTTCCCATTATCACGATTTTTGTGTAAGAAGTCTTCAACTGACGGACAACACAGAATGTCAATATAACACAAGGGTTCAACAGATGCAGGTTGATGAAAATAATGGGGAGGTTTTAAGGTCGCCATTGAGAAATATTCTCATTTTGTGTGAGACATTAATCTGGATGTATTTGATGTCCGTTAGTTTGCCTTTTGGTTTCCTTGTTGTATGTGTTGTTCTCAATTGAGAACAACACCATTTATTTGAATTGACCACGGTTTGCATGGCGGGTGTTGTCGATGAAGCAGAAGACGCTTACTCTACCGGAACACCTGGTCTTATTCTCCTTGTACTTTTTCAGGAGTTTTTGTGTAAATCTTCCTTTTGTTCATATTTTGTCCTTGTTTTATGGAATTTGTGTTTGGATTCTGATTATGCTGCCATGTTGATATTTTCTTGATGTTTTTTCAACACGATTGTGTTTCGCGATACATAATGAATGCAATATATATAATATGCACAATTTGGCAAATCCAAGTACGTGATGTCACGTTCTCCAATGAGCCGAAGGTAAGGAAGAACGAAACCACCAGATATTATCACACAGGGAATTAGAATATCATCCAATACGATCATTATGACTAACATAATAATTGCCCATATTCTTCTTGAACCAGCATATCACGAAACACTGTTCTTCTGTCGACATCATGAAGTGAAATTGTGATACTGGATACAAACCCTTGTAAACTGAATCAACCCCGACAAGTTTACAGCAGGAATATAATATTCTAGAAACTGAAATCATCACGCTGGGAGATACGACATACTACGTGTTCACTAAACCTTGAGATTATGATTCACTACAAAAAGGTATGACAATTATTGGGTCTCCGAAACATTATAGTAATATTCTAGATCTAAAGGATGAATAACAGTACACAAATTACACACAACGCCATCAATACCTGCATGCAATAATGCAGCTCCAAATCGATGCAATATGCATCAATATTGTATTTATCTTCATGAAAGGTTGACTTTTGTTTCCGCTTTCTGCAATCCTGTATAATAGAACCATAGAGAGAAAAGACAGAGAAATGAATAAGTTGTTCACCTCTGTAAGCTATCTATGTCACCCTATACCATTTGTGGTGGTAATTATCTCTTACAACCAAAGATAGTAATTGGTCAAGTGGTCAGATGGTCTTGGGTACAGCAAGATCAATCATTAACCTAAATGAGTATTCCTAGGTCAAGTATCGAACGTTGACGGAACTTATAAAATTCCTTAATATAACTCCAGATTTCCATTTAGCCGCTGTTTCGATTTAGGGTAATCAGATTCGGGATTGGCTTGAGAAACTTATTTGACCAAATGCTCATCCAGTGCCACTGACTGAATGAAGGCGAAAATTAGAGAATTGCCGTGTCAATATAATGTCATTTGTGTTCCAAAATCTTCGCCTGTAAAAAACCAACATCTCAGAAATAACATAGACAAGCTTACTTTCGAAAGTCAATTTGTCAGACTTGTTGGTCGAGCTCGGACAAAAATCAATGACAATTGAGCAAAGAAAACTACAGCTAGAGCATAATGGAATAACATAGCGAAACCACTAAGGAAATGTAATTGTTTCCTTTTAAAGAAATTAATACCAAGTTTAAGAAAATTACGTACCGTGAGGATTTGCACGTCATAGCACTGCCATCACTTTCGAGAACAGTTATTGCCTGTGAAGCCGAAGAGAAGTGTTTCTGAGACTAATTTGTTTCCCCTAAGGTAACCATCTATCAGCATCACAGTGACAGCTTCCTCTCGAAAATATTTTCCGTCAAGATATTGTTAGATTAAGCAGTCACTATGAAGGTTGTTTTAATGATAACTACCTTCCTAATTATGTTGACAACCTTCGTTATCACGAACAAGTCGGGGTCTCGAACAAATCCTATACTATAGACAGAGACATTTTTCTCCATTCTGTTATGATAACTTTTTGATAATAACAGAGAAGAGAACACTACTGGATTCAGAAAAGCAGTTCCTTGTGTCTACTTCGTGGAATCATTTTATAATGGATGAAGTTGGCTTTGTTACAGGTCTTTTGCAGTAAAAGAAAGTGTAGAAGCACTTCGAGTGACCTAGATCATAATCAAGGAAGTGAAAATTCCAAACATTCATAAAACCTTGGTCCATTTTTTCTTTTACGTTTAGAAAGGATACTGTGTGAACATTGCCACATACTGAACTATAATTGCCTTTACCACGTCGGTATAAAATTTGACTTTAACTTAAAATTTCATTAAATATGTTTACTTAGTTGACGTTCTTGGTGATATTGAGGCGGAGTTTATTTAATTTTTTAAAAATTTTTAGCAGCAGGTGGTAATCTCACTAAACACAATATGGGAGACTCACTATTGGCTATTCAAAGTATTTGCAATATAATGTTTTATCCAGGGGCGTTATCGAGACATCACAGTAGAGTCCTTGATCTCAGAATAGGAATCAAACCATATATTTAGGATCTTAAACCAAACTCGCAATTTCCTTTATTCTATCAAATGAACCCATTTGATTTATCAATGTTAGAATGAGCATTATTGAGAAATGGTGTATCTTCGTCGATATACCATATATTTCATACTTATGTCTTAGTATATTTTTACATATATATGAACGTTTCAATGCTTAGGTTATTCATGTTGCAATTGTACGGAATTATTTTACCAATTGTGACGATGTATGATGTTATGTATCGGTTATATAATGTTTAATTGAAAAAAAAATTGGTGTAGTATGATAAAAGACAATAAATATTTGAAACATTTTAAATTGAATTTTACAAAAGGTTGACCTTCACGATGAAAATAATGTGATACAAATACATTTAACATTTGTTTTACAATATGAAAGGCGACATGGCGACATTATCACAATTTGATTGAAATATCCTTTCTCGTGATATAAATATGAAAAACTTGCTCGCGATCCTTTCAATTGTTTAACAATATTCTCCTTGTCTGATAAGACTGCCGTATGCTCTCTAACGATATAAACTTGATAATATATAGCGGCAAGTTTAAGATTAAATACATGCACTAAATGTTCATCTACGAAATTTATAAAACTACGGGGCTAATGAACCACCAAATTTTGATTTATTTCCATTAATTTAGTTTTTTTCTTAATCGACGCCTAAGTTTCAAAATTGTGTGCATTAGCAGCACCAAAGAGTTGTATGATGCAGTTTCTACTGTCTCTATTTGCATTCAAATATGCCATTCAATTTGTGTTTTTTTGTACAATATCAATAATATCCAAACATTTGACTTTTAAATAGTTTGCATTCGATATTTTTCATATTTGCTTACTTATTAGCTACCTATATCATTGGCCTCCTGTTGTAAAAGTGAAGGCGGGTCCTTCATGTCATAAATAACTGTACCATCCCAGTAATCAACGCAAGCTAATTCCTAATTCGTCGAAGCGCATAAATGAACCCCAGGGAACAATTATGTGACATATTCGTGCGAGCCGTGTTCCCATACACAGAAAGTCTAAATAACGATTCTGGTGTGGATATTTCTTCGGTTCAGTAGTTTAGGTAAGGACGTAAAAGGTTTATCAAAGACATGGAAGCCCATTGATTGAGTCTGTAATTTGATCGCACGATAAAAGTCTACACTGAAACATGTAAATTATTCTTTCAAAGGGTAGGGATATTTTGTCGGAACCAGTATAAAAGATGCCACACCGAAATAGCGTTATCAAATTCTGGGTGCGGGCGATAACGTTTGGTGGAAGAATGGAGAATCAAATTGTCAAAATTGGAACAGGACTTTTATTTAATCAACGCATGTAATTTTAATCCCATAGAAACTATCATAGGGACGATGTTTCACATACCATGTATGGAAATTAAGTAAATTGAATTATGTAATAAATGGTGTAGATTACTGTGACCACAATTAGATAAACGAAGCGGAAACGGAGGTGGAAGCAGCTTATTTGTAGAATTTGAAGTGTTTATATAGTATTCGGGAAAGATATCTTGTAAATTTTTTTATATAATAGCATTGATATGTCAATACAATACTAGGACAGAGGTGAAGTTGAAATTAACATTTTTTTATAGTTTTCATCTGAAAATACACAAATTTGTTTAAACGTTTTATTTATGAAAATGTTGATAGTGATTCCGTCGGTTTGTCCTTACTTCATCACACGAAGTGTGGTTATTTAACTGATATTCTATTGTGCTATACATAAGCATGTACATGATATGGAAATCTGAATACAATGAGCGAACAGTATTGAATACAAACTATACCACGCCTGTAACGTTCGATTACTCACGGCGTATGCTTTTAGAATACGTTGTGTGTTTCGCGATATGCCAATACTATGTTTCCATGTAAACTACGTCATATTTGCCTGAAAATTAATCATATACGTTTTGCAGGTACAGAGGTCCTACAGTGTCAACGATATCGAGCTAACTGAAGACCAGAGGCAAGGTACAATACGTTTATATTGTTTACTTCTACAGATCATAAACAAAACTATACATTAACTTAAACGATCAAAAAACATGTACAGCAAAGGCTGTCGCAATAAATATTAATAACAATTAACTTTTAATAGAGTAAAACTTAGGTGACTCTATATTAAGACGACGAAAATTTACAAAAACAGAAGAGGTCGATATAAGTCGGTTTTAAAAGTAGGTCACAAATTCCCTGGGAAATCCTATACAAGGTGTTCAATAAACGTATAAATCTACAATGCACTTATATTGTAGATATTTACGTGAATCTGTAAGATTTTCAATGACAGTGGATACTATCCGTTCTACTGATAAATAAAATAGGGCTCGCGGAAGTGAAGATTTTGATTTTAATCGGCCTCTCGGATGTAATTAGTACATTCAAAGTCACAATAATTGTAGTTTCGTCTAAAGCTTATTTAGGAGAGAATTATGTCTTTTGACTGGTGTCCTGTGTCCTTGTTATGACGTGTCTAGATTTAGATCTTATTTTATTGACTTTTTTGTCTTTCGCACAAAATAAATGTTTACACCCTATGATTTTGTCATGATGTTTCACCTAAGACTTTTTTAAACAATTTTTCTTAAAAATGACGAGATAATTCAGCACGAGTTACAATGTCTATGTATGATGAATGGGGAGAATTTCACACCTATTGGTTAAGTCTTGTTGCGATCGCGACCTACACCAATCATTTTCAAACTTGCGCGTTGCAGGCAGAACAAACGATAAAAGATACTTATTGCCTACAAAGAGGAAAATATCATCTTTATTCATTTTTTCCGTAGCAATTCGCAAGTCGACGATGCCAACTGCATCTCCTTATAGCAATGCGCAAACCCCTGAAGCAATATATAACTCTCTCTGGCGACCAAGGAAACACGTGGTAGCTATACATTGCACTCAGTCGACCCATAGAACGATCTGTAACTACCATAGAAATCTTCAGACTCAAGGAACAAACTATGACTCGTCATAGCAATATGAAGACTCACCTAGCAGTACATTCACCTACAATTTTATCCGCAGATTCGTCGAACCAAACGAAGCCCCAAAGTTATCAGCAGACTCATTGAACAATCTATAAATGCACCTGCCAATCTGCAAACGAATTCTTAATCAACAATATCAATAGTCAACAATAATTTTCGTCACTTGTCTATGCACATCTATCAACAATGCAAATACTTATTTCAAAACAAATTTATCGGATGACGATAGTCATACACACGTGACTCTGTCATGTAATTTATCTTTTATCGGCATTTTGTTATTCACTACATAATTGTAAGGTCAGTGAATCATTTCTGTCAATTAATAAGACACAATGGAATTGAAGTGCAAATGATGTTTCTGCAGTTTTGGATTAACTGTAAAGAAACAAATATCTAAGGCTCTAAATCAAGAATGGTTTTGAATGTTTGACTTGGTACAAGCTTTCGGAGTTACCATTCCTGCTCCAAGTATTCAAAAAATAATTTTGCATTTGCTTGATTTCAGCACCAATTTGTACCACGTGAAAGTCCACGTTGATTTCATAGTATAAATGACTGAAAAAGAGGAAGAAAAAGTAGACACTTCTAAAATGTGTCCTTTGTTTTTTGTTTTTGTTTTTGTTTTTGTTTTTTTATTAACATGCTTATTGAAGATAACGTTTAGATAGAATGAGTACTTTTCATGAATTCCATTGATTGAATTATAGATGTTTCCACCACGAAATAGCATTACTTATGGAATATTCAATAAAGACCCTCTCAAAAACAAAGCACAGGAAACGTGCTCGAAAATCATATTTAAGCTGGTAGATTAAGAGAATAATATACAAAGGAAGCAACTCCTGTTTATTCATTCATGACTATCATGACAAAAGGATAATTATAGTCATTTTAACTCAAATCCTGACTGAATAAATGCACGTTTTATCAAACCTTATATAAAATAAAGAAAAGCAATATTGATGTTTAGATTGATCATTATTTTGGTGGAATTCAACCTTCTCGTCTGAACTGATACAGATTTATAGAAACAATCATCAAACTGCTCTACACCATCAGAAGTAACAGGCGTTACAATAAGCTTTATCGTATCGATAGGGAAGAAAAGATAAGAAAATGATACCTTGTTTTGATACCAAAATAGTTTTATCGTATCAATAAACCTTTGGGTATTTTAAGTACATCTTGATAGCCTTCGTACAAGCATTAGGTACAAGCTTGGAATAGAATATACCGTACGTTCACAAGTATTTCTCTCATCTTATCTGACTTCGCTGAAATAAAGAATATACTCTAACGATTAAATTAATCCGAATATATTGTTGCGGTCAATAAGACACGCCATGAAACACTCTGTAGTCCATTATTTTGTCTTTAGTTTGAACACACATTTCACGTTGTAGGAATGCCTTCCACACGAAACAACAAGTTTACTACTCTAGGTAAATGACAAGTAACTGCCTAGGTGTCCGCATTTAGTCCTTTTACATCACTGTCGGGTCCCAGAGGGACGGAACAGCTGTATGATGTAGCATCACTACCGGGTCCCAGAAGGACAAAACAGCTGTATGATGTAGCATCACTGACGAGTCCCAGAGGGACGAAACAGCTATATGATGTAGCATCACTGTCGGGTCCCAGAGGGACAAAACAGCTATATGGTGTAGCATCACTGTCGGGTCCCAGAGGGACGAAACAGCTGTATGATGTAACATTACTGTCTGGTCCCAGAGGGACCATACATCTTTGTGTAGTATCATTTCTGGGACTCAGAAGGACTAAACAGCAGTATGATGTAGTATCACTGTCGGGTCCCAGAGGGACGAAACAGCTGTATGATTAACCATCACTGGCAAATCCTAGAGGGACGAAATAGCTGTATGATGTAGCATCATTGTCGGTTCCCAGAGGGACGAAACAGCTGTATGGTGTAGCATCACTGTCGGGTCCCAGAGGGACAAAACAGCTGTATGGTGCAGCATCACTGTCGGGTCCCAGAGGGACGATACAGATGTATGATGTAGCATCACTGTCGGGCCCCAGAGGGACGAAACAGCTGTATGATTTACCATCTCTTGCGAGTCCTAGAGGGACGAAACAGCTGTATGATGTAATATTACTGTCTGGTCCCAGACGGACCATACATCTTTGTGGTGTAGTATCATTTCTGAGACTCAGAGGGACTAAACAGCAGTATGATATAGTATCACTGTCGGGTCCCAGAGGGACGAAACAGCTGTATGGTGCATCATCACTGTCGGGTCCCAGAGGGACGAAACAGCTGTTAGATGTAGTATCACTGGCGAGTCACAGGGGGCCGTCAAAGCTGTATGACGTAGTATCACTGACGTGTCCCAGAGGGACGAAACAGCTGTATGATGTAGTATCACTGGCGAGTCACAGGGGGCCGTAAAAGCTGTATGATGTAGTATCACTGGCGAGTCACAGGGGGCCGTAAAAGCTGTATGATGTAGTATCACTGGCGAGTCACAGGGGGCCGTAAAAGCTGTATGATGTAGTATCACTGGCGAGTCACAGGGGGCCGTAAAAGCTGTGTGATACAGTGTAATTCATTATTGGTTTCCACGGTATTGATGGATAAGATAATCTCATATTGGTACAATGTTATTCTGTTGGTTGGTGTTTTGATCGATTACATGTTTTGGAGTTCATGGCTAGGTCAAAGTCATGGAAAGTTTAGGAAGATGTGCCTGCGTAGTAATTTGATTTATCAGGTATATATCTATATCTATTATACTATAAAATCATTGTTATTTACGGAGGACGTCCTTTCACTGATCTCATGGTTCATTTTACACTTTGTAAATATTATCAACAACACTATATATAAGTAAAGTAGTATTCTTTTTCAATTTATTTGATTGTATTGTTAACATTATTGCCATACCATTTATATATATGTACACCATTTTACATTTTGCTTCTTGTGAACGTTCCCTATCATTGTAACTCTGTTTTGTAAGACTATATTACTCTATTCTGCTACAAACTCCAAAACATTTCTGATTGTAGAAGACATTCTTTGTTATCACCTCTCGTTTAAACAACATATCCACAAGCCTTAACTACGACCACAATTTTAAAAAAAATAATTGAACATTTATTTGTTTCACCAGTCACTATAGTAACGATGATTATTGTCTTCACGGAGTTCCATATGATGCTGGTTTCTTTGTATTCGTAAGCAGAATATGTAACTCTACAGCTTAACTATGTCGATTTGAAGCATGCTGTCTGTTTCCTTGTTAAAGTACGGTTTGAATTCTCTGAAAATTGGATGGTTGCTATAGAAACAGACCTTTACCGATTGTCACACTTGTTATTCTTTTCTTTCAGAGCCTCATGATTGCATAATACTGTCAAATACATACATAGTTTATGTGAAATAGATTTCATGCTTGAAAGTAATGAGAATAGTCTTCGTGCAATAATGCACGGACCGGTGTAATTGACATTGGACCTGAAAACTCGAAAATCGTTAGATTTATTGTAAAAAACGTAATAATGTAAGACGTTTAATCTGTCAGAGAAACAGCACATGGACTAATTAGACAAGACAATCGAAAGCTCACCTATATCATCAGCTATTAAAAATCGATAAAATTCCATTTAACTATTTTTGTTATCTTGACAAAGCTTTAGAATTTCATAATGAACAATAGGTAGAACATTTATCATATAATGTGCTGATAAACGGTAATTGATCATATGAAAGTATTTTCAAAAGTTTGATTAAATAAAAACTTTTATAAATGATTTTATTTTTCAAACGAATATTTTTACTAGAAATTGTTTGATTTTTTTGTGTTTATTCAAAGAAAACTCGAGAAAACTACCATTATTGATGTCTAACTTTGCATTTTCATAAAAAATCATGAGATGATAGATGTGTTTTTAGTATATTTATGGGCTGACGATAAATAGATATAGAGTTGAGACAAACCTGGCCACATG